AATAGGTTAGGAGTGCCTCCCAGAATGCTGTGCGCTCCTTTTGCCTTTGTGCCTGTTTCATTTTTTTCCTGTCACTTTCCGACCCAACAAGCAAGGGCAAGGTAGATGTAAATGGGTGTGAGGCCGCTCTGTCTCTATTTTTCACCATCAGTGTAAGTGTTCACCCAGATGTTTCTTGGAACCACATGTAGGTACATGTCTGCCTGGCATGTGGCTTAAAGTTCAGTAGCAAATCTCCCATGAGCATTTTCTACATTTCCAATAGTATGTCATTCCCAATCACCTGCCAGTGGATAACACTTGGAAGGGCAAGATCAAAAGATAAGAACCACAAAGTGATATTCTACAGCTTCTGTAAGATTTATAAAAAAGAAAAAGAAAAAAAAAGGTCCAGCAATTAGGTGAAAGGACTTTCTTCTCAGTGTCATATGCCAAAATAAAGGTGCACTTATCAATAGGAACATTTGTGTCTCAAATTTCATTAATCCCTCCAAGTTCTGAAAGCAAATTTACAAAGAATAACAACATTTCACTTTGATGACAAAGTGCTAATTAATTACTAACTTCTTTTCTCCCAGAGGTAAAATATCAGTGCTATTTTTTAATGGAATTAAGCATCACAATCTTCTAATTGTTATAAAAATATTTAGCAGCAATATCTGTTTAATTATTTAGACATCCCTTAATGGTGTAAATATTTCCAGTGCCATCATAAATATTTTCTGCTTTGTCCATAGACAATCAGTTAAGGATCTGTTGCTTGTAGGTCTTAAATTAAGATCTATTTAAGGCTGCCTGCTGGCCACAGGATAATTACTTACACTTGCTAATGCCTGAATCTATTAGATTTAGCAGCAAGAAGTATTTTTTTGCTTTCACAAATAAGGGAAAGTTATTTTCCTTATACAAATTTCTTTGTTGATGGTATTAGAGAGGATTAGGGTGGGGTTGAAGTAGCTGAAACTTTAATTAATCTAATCCCTTGAACAGCAATTGTTTTCAAATTGATAATTTTCTGTAATGACAGTATTACAGATCACACCTATGTGAATTATTTACACTGTTTTAGCTTAGCATTTCACCTCCAGCTTTCTCTTTCTAAAATGGCAAGATTTGAAACTTCTTTTTTTCCCCTCATTCTCTCTCTCTCACCTAAATAATAGGATTTCTTCTGAAAGCTCCAGCTAGCTTTCCCAGCTAGTTTTCTCTCAATGTCATTGTCTCTCAGTAAGTTGTGTTAACTAATCTAAAAGAGCATAAGGGTGCTGTGAAATCAGGAAAATGGTTTGAATTGATGTTTTTATCTATAGTCATTTGGGGTAGACCTTCACTTGATTTGTTTACTCAGCAATTTTAATAAATTCTTATGCTCTGAAATTATCACTAAGAGTAGAGTCAGATGAAGGACAAAGCTGTCATTCTGGTCAACCTCTGACCATCTCCCGGGTAAATTGGGAATTGTTCTTCATCTGCTCAAATGTCACCTAATCGAGGAAAGACTTTCTCTGACCTCCCAATATAAAATTACAATCAGTATCCCTCTTCTAACACCATTCTCCTCTGTAATTGGATTTATTTTTCTCCATAGCAGTTATGATCATCTGATGTCCTAAAACATGTATTTGTTTAGTGCAGCTCTGACGCTACAGCAAAGCTACACTGAAAGCAAGGACCTGGATTTGTTTACTGCTGCATCCTGAGAGCCAAGACAAGTGCCTTAAATATAGTAATATAGTAGGCAATCAATAAATCATTATTGGACACGTGAAGCTTTTTCTCTCATTTTTCCTGTGCCTAAAGCACCAGATCAGTGCAAAGCAAGGAAATTTTCTCCTTGTCCTGGTATATATTTTGAGAGCTGACAACTTGATGTAAATGAAAGCATTTATCCTGGGCTTGCTGTCCTGCTGAGTCTCAGTGGGAGGATGTCCCTGTGGAACAAACACAGAGATGGAGCTTTCTGGGGTCAGGTCTTCATTAAAGGGCTAAACTTTGAACTGTGCTCTGTTGCTTGGCTTCTACATGTTTACAGTTCTAAGAGGAATACGCAGCAGAGAATCTCTAGGATATTTGCACTCTAGGATATTATTACATGGTGCATAAGAGTAGTTACTGAAGCCAAAAGGGACTCCATAGGCAAATAAGTTTCTTAAAGAGGTTTTACATGAGTTGGGAAGGCTCAAGACATCTCAGATGTATGAGTCCACTGATGAGGGTTCTTCAAAATAAGAAGGTCTTAGGTTGTACCCCAAACTTACTTTTTTTAAGGTCCTTCTCTTCTATCAACCAACACTATTTCTAAGATGATTGCATTGTAAGGAATGCCATGCACTTGGGAGCTGAATAGGCCGGGACTGGGGCAAAAAAGTCTTCCTACTTTTGCACCTCTACACACTTGTTCATGTGACTTTGAACAAGTTACTTAACATTTTTCTATGCCTCAACTTCCTCTACCATAAAATAGGGATGAAAAGGATTACCCAGGTTAATATATGTAAAGTGTTTGGCATACAGGTGCTAAATAAAGAGTGGCAATAGATTGCACCTTTGATGGAATGTGGGAATGGATGACTTTTAGATAGACCCTATCAACCATACTTCCTAAGACAGATTTGCAAGTGTTGCTATATTGAGACTCAAACTGCTATACCTCTTACTTCATCCGAGGACTCTGTCCCCATCTGAGAATCTCTTTGCATCTGTACTGAATGTGAAGATATGCTATCTTTCAGCATGCCTTGATATAAATGGCTGATAACTCATTTTTGGTGCATCCTGCAGAGCTGATTTCTGTGTTGTGATACCCTTGACCTCAAATGAGACACTTTTGCCAGGAGGGAAGTGGTAGCATTCAAGTTCATGATGGTGCAGATGGCTACATGCTGATAGATGTTGAAGTGACCATATTTTTTCAGTAAATTTTAAAGGAAGGTGTGATATGTGTAAATCTGACCCCTTTCAGTAAAATGGATATTTACATATATTTGGAATTTGTAAATCCTGACAGATTCCATAATATTTATAGCCCTCCATAAAAAGCCCTTGCCAGTTTGCAGAGCTCTGCATTTGGCTCTCTGGTATGCTTAAGAGAGTTTAAGTAATAATAAATTTGGTGATTTATTCCACCTGGAACAGAAACTTATTCACCCCCCTTGGCATATTTGGAAGGGGATGCTATAAATAGTGCCACAGACGCTGGCATCAGGAATAGAGAATTGAAATTCGAGAGAGAAGTACAGAAACATTTACATTATCACTGATGCCTTGAATGTATTTTTAAAACAGATCTGTTCCTCAAATAATGCACCTTCTCTCCTTTCTCCTGCCCCAGCTCAATTATACTCGATTCCCCCAAACCTGTTGCCAGCTTTAGGATTCAGTTACACTAATGGGAAAGAGAGAGTGAAAGTATTAGCTGACTAGGTAGGGGAAGGTTGCCTCTAGGGAAGCCAAAGCAATTCTCCAATGTTCATCTTACATTTCACAGGAGTCAGCGATGTCTAGAGTGTAAATTCATTATTTGAGATCCAGCTCATGCCTCCTGCAGGTATTATAAAAAGCTCTTGGTTCATGCAAAAGAAAAAAAAAAAAAGGCTAATTGTATTGACAAGAGTAAGCCTAAGGACAATGACAGAGAGTTGATCCTTTCACCCGTTCATACTTAGAATTACCCAGTGTGGGAGAAGAGAGAAATACCTGAATAGTTGCATCCAAATTATGTCATTTATTTTCTAAAATAAATGAAAGAAACAAAAATCTGGGAGCCAGTTGTTTGGCACAGACTCTGATCTAAGCTGAGAAGAGACATTTAGTGCAGCCTCTGAGTTGCTATAAATGGTCGTCTGACAAGGAGACTGACTACCAGCTCCTTGCTTAAGTGGACTATGAAGGAAGCTACCTTTGTAAGGAGGACAATAATGATAATAGCTGACGGCCTCAGAGAGCTGACAGGGGCCTGCACGCAGCTTTGCATGTGCATCATGTGGCTGTCACCTTTTGCAACACCCCTCTTATTAAGTACTGGATTTCTCCATGCCTGATCACCTGGTGCACACCCAAATCTTTCCTGAGCAATCCCTTTGTCTCTGGCTAATAGGATGGCAGATGTTTGGGCCAAGCCCCAGAGCCTAAAGTGTACCACATTTTAGTGATTTGTGGTGAACAAGGTAAATGCTTCAACAGCAGACTTTATGAAGCAGAGAACCAGCTAAGTATGATGGATCTGAGACAAGGTAAATGTTGTGCGGGGGTATTGTTTCCCAAAAGGACATAAGTGTCTATGGTTCATGCTAATTTGGAAGATTTGCTTGAAAATGAATTTTTAAAGAACTGTGCTCTTGAGAAATGCCCTTGAGGCTGGGAGAAATTTCCTTGCCTTTCTGTAGCATCTTTCCGAGAGGATGGGGAGGTACTGAACTGTTAGCCAGTTGTTCAGTCGCTTTGTTCTCATGAGACCACAATACGCTTCCAATACATATGAGATCAATAAATTGTTTTCATTTCTTAAAGCCCATAGAAGGAAACAAGACAAGCAAATTACCACATTGCATTTTTTTCCCCCCAACAAAAGCTATTAGAGAGAATCCAGTTAGGGCAAACAAAAGTGATTCTTGCAAACAGGTTGCTTTTTCTTTTTAAGACTTATTTATGCAAACAGAACTGGAGTACAGGCCAAAGGTGCAGGGGCAGTGAGAGGATTTACCAGAGACAGAATGATGGGCAGAACAGGCAAATTGACTGAAATACATTGCTGAGGGGAGCACTGGGGGAGACAGGAGAGGTCTGCTGTGCCATGTGGGCCACCTCCCTAGCTGGAGACGGAACTCATGCTGCAGTGGCTGCCCATAGCTTCATAGTGCTGCGCTTTAAACTTTGCACCACCAGGCGGGGCTCCAGTTTGGGTTGTTTTTCTTTTTTTCCTAGCCTCTTAGAATAGCAAGATGGCAAGACTTGTGTCAAACCAGTGATTTGATGCACCCTCTCTTGTTCTTCTTCCATAGGGCAATCCCTACATGTGCAATAATGAGTGTGATGCAAGCACCCCCGAGCTGGCACACCCCCCTGAGCTGATGTTTGATTTTGAAGGAAGACATCCCTCTACATTTTGGCAGTCTGCTACTTGGAAGGAGTATCCCAAGCCTCTCCAGGTTAACATCACTCTGTCTTGGAGCAAAACCATTGAGCTCACAGACAACATAGTTATTACCTTTGAATCGGGGCGTCCAGACCAAATGATCCTGGAGAAATCTCTTGACTATGGACGAACATGGCAGCCCTATCAGTACTATGCCACAGATTGCTTAGATGCTTTTCACATGGACCCTAAATCCGTGAAGGATTTGTCACAGCACACGGTTTTAGAAATCATTTGCACCGAAGAGTACTCCACGGGGTACATGACAAATAGCAAATTAATCCACTTTGAAATCAAAGACAGGTTCGCATTTTTTGCTGGACCTTGGCTACGCAATATGGCTTCCCTCTACGGCCAGCTGGATACAACCAAGAAACTCAGAGATTTCTTTACAGTCACAGACCTGAGGATAAGGCTTTTGAGACCAGCCGTCGGGGAAATTTTTGTAGATGAGCTACACCTGGCACGCTACTTTTACGCAATTTCAGACATAAAGGTGCATGGAAGGTAAGAGAACATCTGTCTGACGGGAATGAGAATGGGTGTGTTCAAAGAAAATGCCAGTGTGTTGGTTCAATGGTGGTAGAGTAACATGTGTCACTTTCTACTGTAACATTTTCTCAGGAACACCAGCTTAGAGGTAGGTTCTGCGACATTTGAGACTTTCTTATTCAATAGTAATTTGTGATCCCAATAGTAATTTTTTGCTGACCCTGAATCTGGCAGGATTTCTTAGATTTCAGCCATTAGCAAGCAAGTAAACAAATATCTTATTTGATACCTGGGAAGTCCTCAGGTCAGGCAGTGTTTTAAGGTATTAAGGCAACAAACCCAATCGCTTTATAAAAAGGGTTGCAAGTAAGAAATACATGTTTCTGTTTTCTAATGCAAAAAGCAGTTCCAATGTGATATATGTTTGGTTCCATTGCACAAAATGATCTAGAAATGAAGGTTTTCAGGTTTTGGGATATTTCTGTCATTTAAAATATGGACCTGAGTTGGACTGTCTTCATTTTGTAAGTCAATTACAGATGGGCCAGAGTTATAAATAGTGATGACAGACCGGACAGCTTTATCTTTCATTTTGACAATATACCAGAGATACAGTTGAGCAAGTTTCCAAAAATGTTGAAGATGTTTAAATGAAAAATTCAAATAATGAGAACAGGGACCACCAACATAGAGATTTTCAACTAGATTTTTAAGTGTGGTATGTTATCACAATAACCAGCTGATGGGAGTTGAAGCATCAGATATAAACTATGGGTAGAGCAGAGCATACAGCAAAATGGAGAAAAGGAAAAGCAAAGAAAAGAAATAACCATTCTAAAAATGCCATGATGATCTTAAAACAAAATATGTAAAGGTATAAATATAGATATAATAACCCATGTAGGTTTAATTAATTAATCATAAAATTTAAGCAGGTAAGACAGGATTTATTATGTTGACTGGTTTCCAGCATCCCTTACAGCTGTCCATTTCCCAAAAACCGGAGAAAAGTTGAGACTCCTTGGTCTTTCAAAGACATTTCTCAGCCTATCTTCAATAATAGTGCTACTATATTCATGCCCTAGAAGGAAGAGTTCATCACTGTTAAGATAGGGCCATAGCGGACACACAGAAAGCACTGGTGAACATGAACTCAGTTTGCTGGCAAAAGTTTCAGAATCTGAACCATGGAAAATAGCAGCAATTGGTATTGCCTCTCACGTTAGTCCTATTTTCATGTTCCTCATGGAAGAGTCAAGAAATTTTAGCTTGCAGTCTTTTCAACAAGGTGTTGGTGATGAAGGATGGAGATACAGATAAATAAAGCAAAATAATATTTCTGAGAGAAATATACACTGGTACAATACTGAGCTGATGGATACAAGGACAGAGAAGCCAGTTCATATGTGGGGGGCATGGAGCGGTTTCCTTAAACATGAATCTGCAATTTATAAAGATTTGTGGCCATTAGATTCCTGAATGTTTTAGTAGATCCCTTGTATGGTATGCAGATATTTCCTCCCATTCCATAAAGTATCTCTTTCTTTTGGTTACTGTCTCTTTTCTGTAGAGAGCTTTTTAGTTTAATGCAGTCTCTGCTATTTATATTCTCCTTTGTTTTCCGTGCTGCTAAACATAAATCTGCAAAGATGTTTCTGAAGCTTTTGTCATGATTATTTGGCCTATGTTTTCTTCTATGCGTTTTATGGCTTCAGTTCATATATGTAAGTCTTTTATCCATTTTGAGTTGATTTTCATATATGGTGTAAGATATTGATGAAGTTTCATCCTTTTGCATGTGGGAGTCAGCTTTTTCCACCACCGTTTACTGACGAGGTTTTCCTTGTTCCAGTATATGCATTTTGTTATGGGGTCATAGGTTAGTTGTCATGTCAGAGGGCTTTCAATTCAATTCTATTAATCTGTGTGCCTATTTTTATTCCAGTACTGTTCTGTTTTAACTATAATGAATGGTCTTCTATTATAGTTTGAAATGATGTCAGTATTATTAACACTAACATACCATAACAAAATGGAAAGTATTCTGGTCACCTATAAGAAGAATGTCAAAATTAATCTTATATTTGAAGTTAAATCCTAATATGACCTATGATGCTAGACAAATCTGTATAGAGATCAGTTTCCTTATGGTTTGAGGCTATCTTCTCCACACCAAAATCCTTACAACTCCATTTCCTTAAAGTTATTTTTATCTTATAAAAAGTAATCTTTTTATTTACAAAATAACCTTTCTTGAGGATGTTACTGTTCTTGACTACTCATTTTATCCCCTTTGATTATTTACAAGAGTGTAAATTACATATTAAAACTGCATGTATTTTATGCATTTTCCATTGGGGAATAGACATACCATCTCTTAAAGATGGCATGTTAGAAACGTAGCATCTAAGTAAATATACCCCTTTTCTTTTATCCCTCTACCTAGTAGCTTCCTTTGACTGAATTTCAGTGGTACTGCGGAATTTTCTGTCCACTGTTTTTTCCTATTCACTAGTCAACTGGTGAGGAAGCAACCAGGCAAGAGAAAAATGTCCAGAGGAGGTAAGGCCCTGCAGTAAGATTCCACTCTGTCAACTCCAAACTCTCAACACCAAATTCTTAGGGCAAAACTGATGTTGGCTTATTAGAACCAGATGGTTGATGTATTTTTAGACTTAGGGATAGTATTAAAGAAGTAAGGCCTGAGATTTCAATCATGTTTCCAGCTTTTAAGTTATAGAGGAAAACTATAAAGGGAAGTGTCAAGCTATTGTCATTGATTCTATGGCTTTCGGCATTGAGGTGATACAATAATTTTACCCTTGAAAATTTCAGTAGTTTTAAAAGTCTGGGTTGTCTTTTTCTTACATGACAAGTCATCAATAGGAAGAATGAACATTAATTGGTGAGCTCTAAATGAAAGTTCAAGGGATTTTTTTGTGAGGAAACCGATCTCCATACAGATCTGTCTAGCAGCATAGATCCTATTAGGATTTAACTTCAAATATAAGATGATTTGTTTTGACTATACACACATCACACACACACAAGAAACTATAATATATAAACTATAACAGAGGTCTTTTATTTCCCTCAAACTCCTCCTTCCCACCATCCTATGAAATGATCGCAATGTTCAACATGTCTTTACATGTCTTCATTTGATCATTACAATGGTGTTTTCTAATATCACCAAACCCTTATCCCCACCATAATGTAGGAATTAGCTTAAGTTATTGGAAAAAGTGGACAGATATCCATATTACAGTGGACATATATTACAGGATTTTCCTACCATAAAATATTGATCTATGAAACAAAACTAATTGGAATATCTACTTGAGTTGACTGATTTGAATTCTAATTCACAATTGCTACTTGTGTACATGTGTGTACTTCTTCTATTTTTCTTTTTGGATTACTTTTCTTATTGAGGTGACTTTGATTTACAATACTGTTTATAATTTAAAGGTATAGATTCACACCTCTTCAAACATGTTACCACACCCACAGCTAGCACCAAAACCCCAAAATCCTGCACAACAATCCAGTAAGCTCCCCCCTTTTTTGGTCCTCACCCTTCATCTTCTCCTTCTGGTAACCTCATTGCTGCAGTCAGACTTATAGTATTTTGGGGGGTTAAGTTTTTTTCTGTGTGACTCTCCTGTTTTATACTGGCTAGTATTGTTTGGTACAAAAAAAAATGTTTTGAGTCTCTTAAAGCTAATGTAGCATTTGTGTGCTTTTTAACATGTGCTACACCTGATACCTATTTTCATAATAACAAAAAGATATAATCCCACCCAAAATTTATTCCTGCTTTGCTACATATTTATTTTGTGTCCACTTATTCCCGCTCATGATGTATTTATTAAGATAATGGAGGAAAAAGAGGAAGCATAGCTGTTGGCAATTCAGCAACTTCATAGTACTTACATTGTTCAATAAACCTAATAATCTTCATGGACTAATTCTGACTTATGGATGTCCTGCTTCAGTAAATCAGGGTGATTTTCTCTAGTGAATAATAGACGAGTGCAGTATGCCAGTACCTTAATTAAAGAGTGGCTCTCTCAGTCTTGATCTCATTTTAATTTACAGGGTAATACTACAATAATATCACTAATGGAAGGTACATTAAAGGACATCAAGTAGCATTAACTGTATTAAATTATGGTACTTGTGTTAATTAACTGCTGAAGCAAGATGGTTCTAATGGCCAAAAAGGTCGACTAATGCATAAATAAAGTCTAACCAGATGAGGGGCAGGAGGAGAGAGGAAGAGTAGATGTTTGTTCTGAATATATTTTTATATAGACAGGGTTTAAATGCACACACTGTTAAATATAAATAATGTCCACACTATTTTTTGCTACAAAATTGTAAGTTTTGATTTTTAAGTGTTTTGCTTCCTTCAAATCTTACCATAACTAAATTAACTGAAAGTTGAGTATTGCATTTGTCAGATATATAGATCATAGAATATAAATTCAACTTTATTTATTGAGATAAACAGTTTTGAAGAAGTAATGTGATTTCTTATAATTGTTAAATCTGAAAGATGAATGAGCATCTGATAATATGCTCATTTATTTGTAAAATATACTATCAGCAAGGTATCAAGGGATGGGTTTTAGACATAAGATAAAAGCAATCCATTTAGAACAAAATTATAAGCACTTTTCTCAGTAATCTAGAAAACTCTAACCCACATCTCCATTACTTGTCTTGTTACACAATATTTCTGAATATTATTATCAATAATTTATTTCTTCATGGTGTTTATTCATTTCTTACCCCCTGCAGGGCCAATCCAAGTTCCTTACAGGAAGCCAGCTGTTAGCTACTATTAACAGAATTGACTTTGCCTCCTATGTGTCTGAGAGGAGCCAGGGAGTTGAATCACAGTAGTTCCATTTCAACAAACTTTTGGGTATGATTTCCCCTTTACTGTTGCCCCAACTCAGAACTGCACCCTCACTGCCTCATTCAGTACCAGGTCCAGGTACAGAACC